TAGCTGGTGAGTGGGAAGGAGAACTCCTGCCTGCAGGAGAGGTGGCTGGGCATGGGAGTGAATGTGGGGTTTGTGGGCCCCCTAGCCACATGCCCCCCACCCCATGGTCCGCAGACCCGCCACCAGCAGCAGCGAGTGGCAGGTCCTTGGGCTGCTCTTGGCCAGGACAGGTAAAGCCCCTGGTGGCACATGGCTGCAGCTGAGCACCCAGGCCTGCACATGGTTCCCACCTGCAGTGCTGAGAGCCCCACGTGCTGGCAGGGAGCCAGCCTGGTATGGCCTGAAGGCGCCCACCAACAAGCCAAACTGGGCTGGCTTTGTGCCGCCACATGCAGCCCCCAGTATTCGCTGTAGCCGCACATCACCGGGGGCTCTGCCTGCTGTAGCCATGTGCACTCCAAGAATCTACCAGCAGTGGGGACTGTACACAGTGCAGGGTGGGGGGCATGTGGCAGCCTGGGCTGTACAAGGCAGCCCATGGCAGCAGAGGCTGTGCAGGGGAGCGTGTGGTGGAGGAGACTGTGCACAGGGGGATCACCACACCCACCCACAAACCCCACACACTCCCAATACCCACACCCACCCATATACCTCACATACATACCCACACCCCTTCACAACCTCCTCCACAAAACCCCCACACCCCTGCACGTCTTCACAAACCCTTAGACACACACGCACCCAACACCCACTCTCCAACCACACTCCACACCACCCAGACACAAGTATCTGCATATATTTCTAAAGAAGGTTCAAATAGTGTTATATTTAGTTTAATTTGTAAAAAAAAATAAAAAAAAATAAAAAAATCCAATTCATTTTGCATAATTTTGAATTTTTCTGTGCATAATTCCCTGGCGTGTAAATGTTGCAAATGTATCAAAGATGAGAAGAAATCTAGAAGAAAGTGAAAAAGCCCCAAGCTAATAACATATGGCTTCCATGTGCATTTGATGCACCTCTTAGTCAAAGACTTCAGTGCTCCAGAAATAAAAGCTAATGTTAAAATTGCAAAATACTGCTGTAACAACCACTTTGCAGCAGTTGCGCTGAAGAAAGCAGGAGGAACTAAACTAACTCTCCCAGAAGATGTGTAATGAAACTCAGTAATGGACTGTTTTGAGCAATACATTGAGAACTAGCCTAATCAGACGAAAATTTGTGAAACAAAATAGTTACAAAATAAATGGAACCTGTCATAGCCAAATTTCTCAACATTGGGCTAAAGAGAAATGTAGAAGGTATGTTGATTATCCTTAAGCCTATTTCCATAGCCTTGAACAAGTGCAGGGAAATCACTGTTTTATTGCTGATGCTGTTGAAATTTGGAAGGAACTGAGTGAGACCTTGAAAACAGAAATATGCAATGCCATAGGTAAATTTAAGGCATTAAAAAAAATGAATGGATCAAGCATCATCTCCAGCTCATTTTGTTGCCAATATTCTGAATGCTCAGTACCAGGGTCAATTCTTAACTGCAGAAGAAAAGGAGTTGACTATGTTATGGGCATCCAGCAATCATCCATCCATAATACTAACTATAATAAATTTCAGGGCTAAGGTTGAACAATTCAAGAAATACATGTTTGCTGATGAGGTTTTAAAGGAAGTCACACAAGTGAACTGATGGAAGTCGCTTAAGCACGTGGATCAGAGCTTTGAAAATGCTAGTAGCTTCTTCTGCAGGTGTAGAACGGATATTTTCTGCGTTTGGACTAATTCATTCTAAATTGAGAAGTTGTTGGGGAACTGCAAAAGCAGGAAAGCTCATCTTTCTTTTCAGGCTTAAGAATAAACAGGAAGAGGAAGGTGAAGACTGGGTTTGCTGCAAAACCCAGTATTTTAAGTTTCTCATGCTGACCCGGCTGAAATAATCTATTTAATTTTTTGTTAAAAACACATTTCACATTTATAACTAAAACAGTTAAAAATTCAGAAATACATGCTTGTTTTATTAAAATAATTATATCTGTTTGTTGCTGAAGAAAAATATCCAAAATACATAAAGTTGTCGTCTCAGTTAAATAAAGCAATTTAAACGTCTGTTGTTTTTGGTGACGGTTGTTGTTGTCCTCCTAATACAGCATGGCAAAAATATCCCCCAAATAGCCATGATTTGTCTAGTGATAGTGTCATGATTGGAGATAGTTCACCTTCCAATGACTTCACAAGTGTCTGCTTCAATTAGCTTTGATAAATAAAATAACCAAATCATAATTCAGTTTTCTGATGTAGCTGCAAAATTAAACTGAAAAAATATTAAAATAAATCACTGCTTTAAAATGTATAGTGTGTATGTTCTAAAAATGAAACCTACTTTTATCTCTGAGTTGTGAATAATATGCATTAAGGTTATATCAAACAACAAGAATGCACTTTTTGAAGGAAACAATGATTCAATCAAGGCTTCCTCTGCCCAGTGATTTGAATTGTGATTTAAATCAAACCCACCCTGCTATAGAGTCTAATAAACTTTACTATTAAGTAACATCTCAATATTCAAATTAGAACTTTTTTGTAGCTACATCCTATTACAACTTTCTCTCCTCCACCGAGCAGTTAGAAGTAATCTTGCTTGTTCCTTTTTATTTACTGCTTTCAAAAACTTTAGACAGCTGAGTGATAGTTGTTCAGTTGCATCTGTGAAGAAAACCCAATGAACCAGAATTCATTTTCATTTGCCAGTACACCATTTGATCAAGGAAGACAATGGGACAAAACAATGAAGGAGGACAACACCGAAGAGTGCAACACGGACGTTAGCTTGTGCTATGCTAGGGAAGAGGAAACTGGCATACAGGCCTCAAGATCCCTTGTTATTTATTCGTGGGTGGGGGTAAGATGAACTTGGGAATCCTTAGGCAAGATACAAAAGAATACAGCTACTTTAAGTCAATCAGAATGCAAATATACTCCAAAAAAAGGGAAACTACAAAAGACCCATTTGCAGCAGCTTTTATAGATTAAATTAATTAGCTGGATGAGCACTCTTTCGTACAAGAAGAAATACTAAATTATCCTTAAAAGTATGCTAAGCAGACTGCAGTAATATTTTAAAAAATAAAAAAGCTATCAGTAGGAATTCATCCCAATAAGTCTCTATGGCTAGGGACAGACATTATGCATAAATCGGTTTAAGTTATCAGAAACTGGTTTAAACCTGTAACAGAACAGAAGTTCAGTGCACATAAACCAGTTTGAAAATGGCTGAAACTGGTTCGAGATAAACCTGGCTGAATGTAGTATCAGACTTAACTGATTTGGGTCAAACTGATTTATGCAATGTCTGTCCCAGACTTCTTCCTGGTTTAAGTTAAACTAGAGTCCCCCAACATCCCAGATTCTTTGCAGCCCTGAGCTGGACTGGGCTAGGCTGTGCTCTCTGCTCCAAAGAACAGGCTCGCCCTGCCCCTCTCCTCTCTAGCCAGAGCTCAGAGAGAGACTGCAGGCACAGCAGGGTCTGCCTGGCTTCCCTTGCTGCTCAAGCAGGGATCTCCCCCTCCCTCCCTCCCACAGTATGGACTCCAACCACAGACGTGGGGCATGTGGTATGCGAGCTAATGATGAAAGGGTGCGTGCATGCGATTTCACTGGGACAAGACAAAGACAGACAGGACAGTGTCCACTTAGGGTTTTTTGGAGCTAATCAACAGGTCAGCTGGTAATGTCCCTCCTTGATAAAAGCTATTTAAGAAGAGCTTGACCTAACGAGAGAGGCTTTTGTTTTGCTGATAAACACTGTTGTTTCATCAGCCCCCCTGCTGGTTTGTAGCCCTGTCAGGTTGCAGGGTTGCAAGGAAGAGGGAGACTGAAAAGTTCAGTATCATCAACAGATGCATGCACTGCACACCCCACCTTTGCCTCAACACTCCCACCCCTTGAGCAGCCAGTAAGGGAAAAACCTGAGACAGTGCAGGCTAAGTGGGGGCTTAAACCCCCTCCCTAATCAGAACTTCCTGCCAGGGCCGGGCCACAGCCCCCAGCTCAGCAGTGTGGAAGGGAAGGGAGGCTGATCTAGTGCCCCCTGGCTTCTAGCCTGAGCCACCGCAGGCATGTGCCTCCATTTCTGGAATGAAAAGGGAATATCTATCCACCTCCAAATCAGTTCAATCTAAGCAGGTTAGACTGACCTGCAAAGATTGAATCAATTCAGGCTCAGGCTTTTTGAAGTCTAGCCTATGGGCACTTATACATGTATACTCCGACACACTATAATTACAGCGCATTGGAGCAGACTCTAGTAATCAAGATTGCTAGAGCGTGGAATAACTGCACTCTAGCATCACATGCATCTGCATCCCCGCATTGAAAAATGGCAGTGGGGGCATTTAAATTGAAACTCATTCAACAAGCTTTAGTTAAAGCACCCTCACTGCCATTTTTCAGCACAGGGATGCTGATACATAGGACTCAGAGGCTTTAATTAGAATGCCTGCGCCCCACACTCCTGGAGCACATGTATAAATGCCTAATAGCTCTACACCAATGTACCCTAGCTGAGCAGATGGCTTTAGTCAGATCTGAGTAACATTCTACATATTATTTCTTCATTACACAAATATAGAACCAGCATGATTACAACTATACAAATACATATGGAAAAGTGTAGGACACCGTTGCCCAGCTGGTGGCCCCCACACGGTTATAGCATGAGGCTCATGGGCTTCTGGTATGGCCACTGCAGGAGGAGAGAGAAAAAGGGGGACAGCCAGGCTTGTCCCCGTGACATGCATGGCTGAGGCAGAGATGGTAGAGGTGTGGGGGCACTGCCTACACGGTGTGTGCAGAATGGAGGTGTGGAAGGGGCACGCACTAAAGTTGCCCTGCCTGGTAGGAGAGTTTAGGGAGTGCTGCCTACATTGTGAGTGACCCTCACTCTGCAGCTTGCACCTTACACAGCCCCTAGGGCTACAACCCATGTGGCATGTGGGCCCCAGCTGCCTGGATGTTGGACAGCCCTGGTAGGATAAAAGAATAAACAAAATGAAAAGGGAACTCACTTGACTGAGCTCACTTTGGAGCTGTAGGCTATGTTGTTCTTTTTCTTCCCTCTGTTGCTGCAGCTGTTTAAACTCTGCTTTGAGATGCTGGTACTTAGTCTCTACTTCTGACAGTTCTTCCTTAAGTTTCTGGCTTGCTTCTCCCTTCTCACCTAGTTCTGTCTGTAACCTCTGCAATGAAGCTTCAGATGCAGACAACCTTGCTTGAAGCTGCTGGCAGTCCAGATCCTTTTGATGTAGGCTTGCCTGTATGTTCTTTTTACTCACAGATACTTCACTGTGCCTTTCTTCTAATTCAGTGTAATCCAGTTCTTTCTTCAGAAGCTTTTCTGTCAAACTCTAAAAGTAGTTAAATTTGAATTGATTTACAATTCTGCTTATATCGGATCAACTGTTATCACTCAGATATCCACCCCTTATGAACGTTAATCCAGACTAGTAAGCAATTCACTCACGATATAAATGCCTCTAAAACTGAGCGAAGGAGGAATGAAACAGAAATTAAAATGGGGAATTTGACCTGCTTCACTAATTTCTTTCCAGAGTCTATGCAGTAAACCATTTCAATGTTAAATCATGTTATTCAAGGCCTACATACATATTATAGAGTTATAGTCTGGGTTGAAGATAACCTTTTCCTGAGCTTTCCTCTTCACGTTAAGGTACCAGATTCAATGCTATTTCAGCATCTTGGAAGCTGTTTAATTGACACATATTGAAAAACTGCTTTGAGGTATAAAACAATCACCGGTATATTCAAAGTACTTGCGCCTTACATACAGTTCACTGCATATTTACAATTGTGGTTCAAATTCTTTTAAATGTTTTGTGTAAGCCATCAAGGCTCCACATTTTCAAACAAGTTTCCTCATTTTGTTCTGCCACTACATTTCAAGCAAGAGGGCCATTCTCCTGTTCCTGTTATCCCGATTAAGAACCTCTCAAGAGAGACTGCAAAACAACTATAACTTGTGGTACTAATAATGGTAATTAGAATGAGAAACTCACATCATGACTCAAAACATTGGCTCTGTATTACAAGATGAGAGTTGGTATTGTAGCAGGTCAGTGCAAGGCCTAAGCATGGCTTTGTTGACTTGAGTGGTTACAGTTCTGGCATTGTATTGCAACTACAGGCATCCCTCCTCCACATCCTTAAAGGTGTGCATCCCTCAAATCAACGAAGCCAGACTTCTATTCTCACTGAAGGCAACAGGGCCTTGCAACTAATCTGAATAGAAAAAGCGAAACAAGAAATCATCTGCAAACTGGATTGTGTTAAGTCTAGTTTAAACAGGATCTATGGATTTGTATCCCATTAGTTTTTGTGATATCTTTCTTCCTATGGGTTCTCTGCTTGCCTACCTCTCTC